AATTTAAACTTTGCATTACATCGTGAAAGCTGAGAGGTTACCTAAAGTAAAAATATTTTAATTCTGAACAAATGTCATTCTTTTGAGTTAGAACACACACACACACACACACACACACACACACACACACACACACACACACACACACACACACACACACACACACAAAGGGAGCCGGTCAGCCGAGCGGACAGCACGCTGGACACGTGATCCTGTGGTCCTGGGTTCGATCCCGGGCGCCGGAAAGAAACGATGGGCAGAGTTTCTTTCACCCTATGCCCCCTGTTACCTAGCAGTAAATAGGTACCTGGGAGTCAGTCAGCTGTCACGGTGTGTGTGGGGGGGGGGGGAAATAGTAGTAGTAGAAACAGTTGATTGATAGTTGAGAGGCGGGACCAAAGAGCCAGAGCTCAATCCCCGCAAGCAAAACTAGGTAATTACAACTAGGTAAGTACATCTCCCGTACCTTGTTAACCACAAGACAAGCTGGAAAAAGTTCAGAGGTATGGCACTAGGCTAGTTCCAGAATTAAGAGACATGAGTTATGAGGAAAGGCTGCGCGAAATGCACCTCACGTCGCTAGAAGACAGGATGTCTTCCAGCGACGTTTTGTCCCTATCTACAAAATTCTTATAGGCATTGACAGGGTAGATACAGATAAACTGTTAAACACGGGTGATACGTGAACAAGGGGACACAGGTGGAAGCCGAGTTGCCACAGGGACGTTAAAAAGAACTTTTTCAGTGTCAGAACTATTAGTTAACATGGAATGCATTAGGCAGTGATGTGGTAAAGGCTGACTCCATACACGATTTCAAATGTACACATGATAGAGCCCTATAGGCTCAGGCACCCGTACACCCCAGTTGATTGATGCTTGAGAGGCGGGATCCAAAGAGTCGAAGCTCAGCCCTCAAGCACAACTAGGTGGCAAAATAATCTCTATTCCCCTGCTCTCCAAATCTCTCTGTATTTTATTACACAGGTGCGTGCAGGACTAGACGACCAGACGACAACACACTCTCACTCTCACACTCGCTGCGAGCCGTGAAAATCTTGCTAACATTTTCTCGTTTCTTTGTTCTCTGTCCGTGTGTAAGTTTATTCAAGACGTAAGTCAGGATCCTCGTGTGGTGGCGGTGGGTCTGGCGGGGCGCGATAACCGTGGAGGAAGTGGCAGAGAGGCTTGCATAGTAACTCGTAACTTCCTGGTGAGGGATCGAGCTCCAGCTGTGAACCCGAGGATAACGAGGATGGGACTTATGGACTGGCAACCCAGCTGCCTGCTTCCAGGTGGTGACCCAGCTGCCTGCTTCCAGGTGGTGACCCAGCTGCCTGCTTCCAGGTGATGACCCAGCTGCCTGCTTCCAGGTGGTGACCCAGCTGCCTGCTTCCAGGTGATGACCCAGCTGCCTGCTTCCAGGTGGTGACCCAGCTGCCTGCTTCCAGGTGATGACCCAGCTGCCTGCTTCCAGGTGGTGACCCAGCTGCCTGCTTCCAGGTGATGACCCAGCTGCCTGCTTCCAGGTGATGACCCAGCTGCCTGCTTACAGGTGATGACCCAGCTGCCTGCTTCCAGGTGGTGACCCAGCTGCCTGCTTCCAGGTGGTGACCCAGCTGCCTGCTTCCAGGTGGTGACCCAGCTGCCTGCTTCCAGGTGGTGACCCAGCTGCCTGCTTCCAGGTGATGACCCAGCTGCCTGCTTACAGGTGATGACCCAGCTGCCTGCTTCCAGGTGGTGACCCAGCTGCCTGGTTCCAGGTGGTGACCCAGCTGCTTGAGAAACAGTGATCGTGGTCAAGATTTTCGATGCATATTTCATTATCGTTTTATTACTTTTGTAGACTTTTCTTCTTTTTTCTTCAGAACGTTGTTTACAGTTTTTACAACAAAAACCGCGTAAATAACTTAATATACCGCTCCTCCCTTGAATATTCCAGATATTACTGTGCAGGTCTTAACTGCGCCTTATACAGGGCAATGTCTGGCACTCTCAGCATTATCATAATATTAATGGAGGAATTTCTCGGCAAGAATGCAAGTGTGAGCATCGCCCTTACCCGAGGACCAAAACGCGGAGTTCCTCAAGGGATTGTTAGACTCTGCTCCAGGTGTACCTAGGCTGGGATAGGTACCTTGCCTTGCCAGTCATCTCCCCTCTTCTTGTCTATCCATTTTCTCTTCATTCTCTTAACTACTCTCTCTCTCTTCTTGTATATCCTCTCCCTTATCATGCCTGTCATATTTCCCTCCTGCCAATCACATCTCTCTCGTCTATCCTATCATCTCTCCCTTCTGTTTCCCATCATCTTCTCCTCTTGCATAGCATCTCTCCATCCTACACACCCCTCACCGCCAACAACTTCCTCGATGTGTTTTGATTTTACGGCTCCTTGCACAGGAAGACAGTGCGCACACTTCATTCTTAAGAATGTATAGGAATGTCGCAGTTCATGTGTGTGAGTGTTTTATTGCTTCGAGGATTGTCAGTGGTATTCTCCCACTGACAGGTGTGGCACACACCCGGGTCTTACTTTCCCTCCTACAGTGGCACTGTCCACTTAAGGGGAGCATCTCAGTCACTCACGGAAAAAGAGAATCCCGCACTCAGCCCTGCAACCCCGTGGCAAGTTAGGTAAAGTGGCCGCTCCAGGGCTCCAATCTATACCTCCACGAACGCTAACCGTGCCTCCTTGCTGCCCATTTGCCTGCCACAAAATGTGATAGCCTATAACGCCAATCTGGCTAATGCAATTATCGAGACCAGATCATTTCTATAGATACAGTAGTATATTCATCTCAACCTAGAGTTTTCATAATCGTGGTCCCTCAATAGAATTCTTGGTGACTCGGATACTTTTGATATCGTTCGCTTTGTGCGTTTTTGTTCTCGTATTGGCATCCTTGGTGATATTTAGCGCCCTCTGATTATTCCGCACATTTGATGGTGCTACATAGCCTTCCCGGTTTGGTGCCTTCTTTTGATAATTACTTACTTTCATAATGGTGTTCAGTGTTCAAACAAAGCCCCAGGCAAACAATAACAAAGCCCCAGGCAAACAATAACAAAGCCCCAGGCAAACAATAACAAAGCCCCAGGCAAACAATAACAAAGCCCCAGGCAAACAATAACAAAGCCCCAGGCAAACAATAACAAAGCCCCAGGCAAACAATAACAAAGCCCCAGGCAAACAATAACAAAGCCCCAGGCAAACGATAACAAAGCCCCAGGCAAACAATAACAAAGCCCCAGGCAAACAATAACAAAGCCCCAGGCAAACAATAACAAAGCCCCAGGCAAACAATAACAAAGCCCCAGGCAAACAATAACAAAGCCCCAGGCAAACAATAACAAAGCCCCAGGCAAACAATAACAAAGCCCCAGGCAAACAATAACAAAGCCCCAGGCAAACAATAACAAAGCCCCAGGCAAACAATAACAAAGCCCCAGGCAAACAATAACAAAGCCCCAGGCAAACAATAACAAAGCCCCAGGCAAACAATAACAAAGCCCCAGGCAAACAATAACAAAGCCCCAGGCAAACAATAACAAAGCCCCAGGCAAACAATAACAAAGCCCCAGGCAAACAATAACAAAGCCCCAGGCAAACAATAACAAAGCCCCAGGCAAACAATAACAAAGCCCCAGGCAAACAATAACAAAGCCCCAGGCAAACAATAACAAAGCCCCAGGCAAACAATAACAAAGCCCCAGGCAAACAATAACAAAGCCCCAGGCAAACAATAACAAAGCCCCAGGCAAACAATAACAAAGCCCCAGGCAAACAATAACAAAGCCCCAGGCAAACAATAACAAAGCCCCAGGCAAACAATAACAAAGCCCCAGGCAAACAATAACAAAGCCCCAGGCAAACAATAACAAAGCCCCAGGCAAACAATAACAAAGCCCCAGGCAAACAATAACAAAGCCCCAGGCAAACAATAACAAAGCCCCAGGCAAACAATAACAAAGCCCCAGGCAAACAATAACAAAGCCCCAGGCAAACAATAACAAAGCCCCAGGCAAACAATAACAAAGCCCCAGGCAAACAATAACAAAGCCCCAGGCAAACAATAACAAAGCCCCAGGCAAACAATAACAAAGCCCCAGGCAAACAATAACAAAGCCCCAGGCAAACAATAACAAAGCCCCAGGCAAACAATAACAAAGCCCCAGGCAAACAATAACAAAGCCCCAGGCAAACAATAACAAAGCCCCAGGCAAACAATAACAAAGCCCCAGGCAAACAATAACAAAGCCCCAGGCAAACAATAACAAAGCCCCAGGCAAACAATAACAAAGCCCCAGGCAAACAATAACAAAGCCCCAGGCAAACAATAACAAAGCCCCAGGCAAACAATAACAAAGCCCCAGGCAAACAATAACAAAGCCCCAGGCAAACAATAACAAAGCCCCAGGCAAACAATAACAAAGCCCCAGGCAAACAATAACAAAGCCCCAGGCAAACAATAACAAAGCCCCAGGCAAACAATAACAAAGCCCCAGGCAAACAATAACAAAGCCCCAGGCAAACAATAACAAAGCCCCAGGCAAACAATAACAAAGCCCCAGGCAAACAATAACAAAGGCGAAGATCGGAGTGAAACAAAACACACTGAATAACATAATAAAACCATTTACCAGGGCTTATACACTGGCTTAGGGCCGAAAATATCTTAACTGTCGCTAAGTGGCAACACAATTCGATGAAATTCAGTAACAACGTTGTGGCGTTTTTAAATTTTTTCTTTAGTTTACCATGATTTGTCTTTTTTTTTTTACCTCTTTCAAGTGTTGAAATTGTATATTGTTAGTTTTTTTATTAAGCCGTACAAAACATTTTTGGGGGGTTTAGTTTTGTTTAATATTTATATTTTTATAAGATTTTGACCAGTATTTTACAATTATTTTCTGTTTTGCTTGTGTTTTATATACATTTTTTGTAAGTGTGAAGTCATTATTATAATTGTTGTATTAATGTTGATTACCCATTTTCAGATATGCAGAGCCACTTTATTTAATCACTTCACGTAAGTTAAACAGTGTGGTTTGTTTTAGTAGTTATTTTATATTATGTTTTGAATTAAATTTTATTATCCATGTGACAGTTATAAAGTTTTATTCGGTTTAATTACTTCAAATAAGCTTAAGTGTTTTCTTTCATAACCACTGTTGTTTGATAGTGGCTATTGTCAAGCGAGACCCAGAAAGAGTTCCATCGTGGGACGGAAGTCTGTAGGCAGCAGGTAGGCTGAAGGAGGTACCAAGATGGTGGAAGGTACAGTGTGGTTATCTTGATGTTTTCGGGGCTTTAGTGTCCCCGCGGCCCGGTCCTCGACCAGGCCTCCACCCCCCATGAAGCAGCCCGTGACAGCTGACTAACACCCAGGTACCTATTTTACTGCTAGGTAACAGGGGCATAGGGTGAAAGAAACTCTTCCGGCGCCCGGGACCACAGGATCACAAGTCTAGTGTGCTGTCCGCTCGGCCGACCGGCTCCCCTTGGATGTAATCCAAGGGGAGCTTGGATGTGTGATGTAATGTTGAGTGATAAATTGGCTGTGTGTAAGGTTGCGTTGAGGGAAGATTTGTGAGGTCAAGGGAACGTCCCAGGATGACAGGAAAACCTTATAACTCATCATGACTCCTCAGTATTCACCAGGAATCAACATATCCTCAAGGACCCACAAGAGTTCCTAAAACCCACCAGGACATTTAAAGATTACAAGAACTCTCAATGTCAACCAGAAACCTTTCAGGACAAAAACCCCACTAGCACCACCAAACTTCAAAAACCTACTAGAATCTTTCAAAACCACTAGATTTCTTAGAAATTCATATAGTCGGACAGGACCACTAGACCTTTCATGTTGTACGAGAACCCTTCAGGACCACTTGACATCTCAGAGCCCAACAACAATCAAGCTATTCTGATCCTGCATCACACATTAGTGCTCAGCACCATGATAATGGCCCCACACAAACTTTGATAAAGCTCTCAATGGTATATTGTCCAACGTCATGGAAGGAGTAAAATTTATTTTATCTCGGAATTTTTCTTTATGTAGATTTGAATGCAAAACTTAACACCAAAAGAAAAAACAAAATGTTTGTTAAATATTTTTATCCAGGAAATTAAAAAATCTAGTTTGATTTGTCTGCTTATCATGGTATGTGTGTAAATGTCTCTCTCTCACAATGTGTGTATATGGATGCCTATGATGCAGAATAATCACAAAAAACACGTGATTCGGTTATGCGTAAGTATAAAATGAAACGAAAATTCCGAACGTTTTCGTGTTTCAACACATTATCAGGAAAATACATGAAATGCTGTATTTCCTTCAAAATGTGTTGAAACACGAAAATATTCGGGACTTTCGTTTCGTTTTCCTAGTGGATACCCCGGACCTCACAGTTCCTGCGACGGCGCTGAAACCAATCGTATTGACGTATGCCTTTCCATTGGAGACTTTCAGCGCCGTGGAGAGGGGGGACCTGCTGCCTGGGTAACAGCTTCTTCCCCCGAATCAACCTACCCTGGCTTTGCGCCCTGGTGAGGCCACTCCAGACCGACAACCAGAGCGCAACTCCATAGTCTCCTGAGACTGATGGATGCCTACTACTACTACTACTACTTACGCATGTAATGCCGATGTCTATCAGTAGGGCGTTTTTTTTAAGCACGGGGGAAGGCTTTTGAATAGGTTTATATTTGTAGTCAATGCAATTAGCAAAGTATGCTAATTACCAAAATGATAATTAGCAAAGTAAAATTGAAAAGTGATGCAGGAAGACTTAGGGAATAGAGCAGTTTGGAGACACGTACTTGTTAGCTCGACACAATAAGTGTAGTGTAATACAATGAGAGATTGGAGACCATAATGACTCTATGCACTAAGGTAATGACGACAACATGAGTCAGAAAGACAAAACAAAACTTCGAAGTGGACATTATCTCATCACTAACAATGTCAGGCTGCGAACAGCCTCGTCGATCAGCCTGGTTGACAAGACGACGACCTGGTTAAAGAGCGGGCCGCGGGGACGTTGATCCCTGGAATCATCGAAAGGTAAGGTATAATACCTTACCTTTCATAATCTGTCATTCCCATTATTCATGTTCAGATGACAACATTCTTCGTGTCTGTCCTCGTTATTTGTTACATCTATGCCTCCATCTCCCTTCCTATATTACCCTTTTATTTCTCTCTCACTATACACTCTCTCCACCACCACTCTCCTTACACATTCTCCACCGTCACTCTCATTATACACACACTCTGCATCACCTCTCTCACTATGCACGACACTTTCTCCACCACCATTCTCACTGTACACCAATCTCACTACACATTCTCTTCACCACCACTCTCACTACACACTTCCCTCCCGCCTGCCCATTCAATATTTTTCTGCGGCTTTGTTTTCCAAAAGTTCTATTTTTAACTTTCTAAAGGTTTTCTATTTATTTTGGCATCATCAAGCAGTATTGTTCGATAAGTCTAGATCATTCTCTTGACTTGATCAAACTTGTGGTTGGCCATCTGAAGTGCTATTTTCAACTGCTGATTGTTCTGAGAGATTCTCACATTAATTCTTCCGTCTTGTGAAATATCCCTTAAGAGCCGTTAGGGCTCGTTTTGTCTTAGGAGCAGTCATGCTGCCTCATTGGTTTCATTTGGATTTGACTTTAGTCATGTTTGATTAATTGAAAGGTTTCCCAAGTTGATTTCATCTGAAAAAGTCAGATGAAGAACCAAGACTAAGGCGTCGTTGTTGTTGTTGTTATAGATTCAGCTACTCGAAACAAGTTCCAAGTAGCACGGGCTATGGTGAGCCCGTAGCTTACCTGGCACAGGAGCGGGGCAATTAGCACGGGCTATGGTGAGCCCGTAGCTTACCTGGCACAGGAGCGGGGCAATTAGCACGGGCTATGGTGAGCCCGTAGCTTACCTGGCACAGGAGCGGGGCAATTAGCACGGGCTATGGTGAGCCCGTAGTGGACTTACCTCGCACAGGAGTGGACACTAAGGCGTCGTCACCCAAAGCCTACATACAACGCTATCTCCACCTCACCTCAAGCCCTGGCACTTACCTACCAAGCCCACCCAACCTACCACACAGCCCAAGGACACGTCACAATATTAAAACCAAGATCAATAACCAAGAAAAACCTCGGGAGACATCTTCCGTCACGCAGGGTGCAGTCGCACCTCCACAGATCTCCAGTATCATCTATTGATACTGGTAATGGCTCAAAAGGACCACCACTTACGGGCTATTCATGCCCGTGCCACCTTTTGGGTGGCTTAATCTTCATCAATCAATCAACCAAGAAAAACACTCGACGCCAACCCGCGGTGGATAAGCCACCAAACTTTTTAGCCTCCTCGTTCCCCATCCACATCCTCTTCAAGAATTTCAACTCCACATCCTTCTTCCTTCCCAACTTATCCAGGCCAAATCCACAAGGACCGTGATGAGGATTCGAACCTACGTCCGGGATGGCCCCAGACGGGCCTTAGTCGATTGCGCCACTACATGGTCAAAAGAATTGCAACCGGAAGTGCTACTGCCCTCAAACGGATCCTGCAGCCTCTCCGATACACAAACCGGGGTTTTACACAATTTCTCCATACACCCGGGCTCTGTCAACAAGCTGTTCTACCTCTTTGTTCATTTGATGTATCACGCTATAGTGACTTCTGTGTGTATCCAGGCCCTTTGGACAGTGAGATGAACCCTCATTCCATCCTGTCCTCCGACAAAGAACTTCGCATTTCGATCATATGCGTTTCATTAGGCAAAGCTTTTTCGTACTAGACAATGGAAGCGGCTGGCGAAAGTGATGTACTGTCCCGTTTTCTGTTTTGGGTCCTCTGGTAGGTTAGGAGAGGACACTTTAAACTGACCGTTTTCTTGACGTTGGGAACCTTAGGAGGACGGACTGCTCATTCACTTGGCGGTTAGACTTGCTGGTGCGGACCATAGGCTCTTAGTCACCAAGATCAACGAACTCTTCATCGCGAATGGACTGACAAACATCACCGCTCAGGACCACGTGCTGACGTCCAGACCATTGAAGGCTACAACATGGCGACTCTCCTCCACCTGCTGACGACCCTTCCTCGGGCCCTGCGACCGTTACTATCCCAGAGGCGACACTACTGTGCCTCCAGCTACCGTCGAGCCTCAAGCCACAGTGGATAGGCCACCGATCTGTTGTTCCCTCCTTCATCTCGTCCCCTGTTCATAGCTCAAGTTTTCTGCATCCTCGTCCCATTGTTCAATCCCCCTCAACTCCACGTCACGCTTTAACTTATCAGTTATTTTGAAATATTTAGTGTAACAGAGGACAAGTCCTCATAAATTAAATTTTAGAGAGTGAAATTTAATATTAAGTTATAATTAAATTTATTTGTTCTTCAGTGGGAGAATATTCCCCATACTAGAGAAGACAGGAGATGGTTTCGTTGAAAACGTCTACTGTTTAACTGTTAACGTCTACTGTTTAACATCCTGAATTCTTGCCTGTGTCTATATGTATTTATAAAATGGTGTGTTGATCTAGCTTTAACGAGTTTATAAATAACGTTTAAAGACAAATTTGGAACTCCAACACAAAAGAATGTGTTTCTGATGTCTCTTTTCTATATTGTTTCTTCCCCCCTTTCGAATATTACATGTTTGTATGTCCTCTGTGTTTCTCTTCTCCATTGTGGTCTGATTCAATTTCTTCAGCTCAATGGTCAACCTTCCTGCATATCTTAAAACGTCTTCAAGTATTGTTTTGTGCTGTCAGGTAAATATTCCATGCTGAAGCTGAATATTTAGGAGCGAAGAGATAACTGCCTCTTCACTTTTCTGTTCTCTCTATTTACAAGCACGTCTATCTTTTTGCTTGCTTGTCTTTCTGTACATTGTTCCATTGTATGTATGTGTGTAGTAGTGATGGCCACAAGGGTGGGTTTAAATACTCTAATCTACATGAAAACTTTCAATCTAGCTTTCTTGAAGATTCCAAACACATTGAAGATTCCTCTACCTATTCTTGGTTTATTGCAAGATTCCAATCACCTTGAGTTCTTCCATCCTACATGTATTACAAATCTTACACTACATGGCTGATCTTAAAGCATCCTTTAAACTACTGAACATATTGGTAAATATTAATTCAGACCATTTCTTTAAGAGATCCACTGTAACTCACACAATGGACAGGAGCTTCAAATTCACGTAGCATAGTATCAGACATAAATGAGTATATGATCTTTTACTTACAGGGAAAGAAACCCATGGAATAGTTTACCACCTGAAGCCGTAAATGCGAAGTCAGAATTCTACCTGAAAATTTAACTGGAACAATTCCATAGGAATAATGGAGGGATTTTCGTCAAGCTGCTGTCTTCCTGTCTCCAAGTCCACTAGAGAAAGTGACCCCCAGGTAAATTCAGGCATATTCAATTGTTGTAGGTGAACGGGCAAACTTTTTTTTTAATAATTTTAGGTGAAAATTAAATTTGGTGAATTGCTCAGGATTTCATAAAATTTATAGCATAGGTAAGTCAACATATTTTTCGTTGTGTTTGTTAACACGTTTTTATTCCACTAGACAGTTATTCATGATGGTTCAAAAGGCAATGGCCCTCCGTCTTGCCTTATACTTCGTTGCCCATATTTGCTGTGGCCTTTGTTGGGGTTTCACCTCTCTATTATTCTCTATCCTTACTCTGGGGTGAGCAATAGTTACGCTCAAGGTAACTCACCGTAGCCCTGCGGGTCTTCCCTCGATCCTCACGGCGCCACTGCACGCCAGGAGAGTCTCCCAGTCAATCTTAACGGCCTCCTATTAAGAAAGAGTGAGAACACGACTCGTTCACATCGACTGTCGTGTGCCCTCCCCAACAATAGGGCTCTACGGTTAATCACAAGGTCGCCAACTGGTGTTTAAGGTGGCCAGTAACACCCTCAGTGGACTGGTGTATTCAGTGGTAGCCTTGGCATGGTCACACTCAAAGATCAGGAATCAGGCAGGTACTTATTGTTATCACTCTATGTTTACAGGTATAGTCTAGCCACAAGATCAATGGAGGGGATGATAAAAACACTAAGATAGTTTTGTATTTTACTTAAAAGGTATGAAAGATGTCACAAGGCCACACAATAATCGATAAATCAACTGATCCTGACTCGGCCGGTAATTCCCACGGATATTATGCGATCACTAGAGGGCAACACTCTCCCCCTCCTCATCAAGTGTCAAGAACAGCTGATTGCAATGGCCTCTCCGCGCGAACTTTGCTTGTTTTCTAGATTCACGCGCGCTGTTCCTTTAAATTTTCCAATATTACTAGAAACTCGCACACTCGATATTGGCACAAATAAACCGAATTACTTAGTTACACTGTACTCAGGCTCAAACAGTCTTTTCTACAATCAACTCTACAATGATTCACTGTAATGGTCTTACACTGTTATTTATCCAACAATATATTATGAAATATTATCACTGGAGTTTTCAGTACTTTCTCTCGTTGGCGATAACGCAATGATTCACTGTACTCACAAATGATTATTCACTGAATGAACATAGACATATATATGGTATATAAATCAATCATCAATACATGGAAAATAAATAGTTTCTGAGCACATAGCCTAACCTCCACATACTGGCATAATCTTATATATAATTTACCACTATATGTTCATATCAAAATCTATAGAAAGATATACACAACACAGTAAATTTATCACTGGTTCCTGGTGCCTGTACACACCAATAATCAATATGAATATTACAAGTACTCTTGATAGTACTGTCTAGCACACTGGTGCTTTACCACGACGTAGGTGAGACTTGCTCACGACATATAAAATCTTCAGGCTAGATAATATAGCCGAATTATATATCTAACTAAAGGGGAATGGGGAGGGAACTAGAACCACCTACTTCACCCTATCCTCCGATGAGAGTCGAGATGTAGCTCCTGGTCCTCGTGTCGGGAACGCCCCCACACTACACGTCGTCGTGTCCTACCAGAGCCTTCTCGTCGTCCCACCGTTTAGCGCGTCGTCTCCGTGCCTCCTCACTGCAGGTCCGTCCTCCTCCTTGACTTCTTGAAGGTTGGAGTCGGTCTCCTGGCCGTCGTCTTCTCCCAGCAACGGCTGTCGCCTACGTCTCAGCTACAGTCGTTCGGTTTCCCCAAATAGTCCTCTCTTCCTCAGCTACCCAGTGGCTCTGTCAGCCACTACGCTGTCACGAACTGGTGAATTGCCACAGACGTCAACATACGTCACTGCACGGCTTCACTGCTACTGGCACAGTACCTGACTGGAGCACTTGTTGCTCAAATAACCGTCAATTCCCTCTTCTGGTTCAACACATGAACTAGGGAAGACTTCTCAGAGTACTGGCGAACTTCCGATGACGCGTAAATCCACGGTAGTGGGAAACAGCTGTCCGACAGACAGGACCACTCGTCGCACGTCCGACCTCTATGACGTGTCGTGACTGACTGATGGCGCCAGCCCGGCGCGCTGGCCGGACCCCCTTCCTTCGTGACGTCACTTTCGCTACGGGAAGTTTTCATTGGCTCCCGGTGCCACATTGCTGTCGGTGACCAATCCGGTGCCACTGACGTCACACGGTTTTGGCGGGAGAATAGAGAGGCCAGCGCCATCTTGGCTCCCTAAAGGGCCTAAACCACAGGCCAAAATATTATTATTTCACAAATTTCTCGGCTCTCCGAGAACACTTCACTCTCTCCCATATATCAAATTGTAGCCTGCAACGTAGAGAACGCTTGGGAAAAGTAGACATGACTCTTACTGCAGGCGTGGGAGAATTATAAGGGGGGGGAACTCCGTCACATACCCCTCCCCTTAAAATAAGAGTCATGTCTCGTTAGTGTATGCGGGATAGGGCGTCCGCTACTACGTCGTCCTTCCCTTTGATGTGTTTGACCTTGATCCTTGTCAGACTCTCAGTGCGGGTGAGACTGGTGCCGTTCGCCCTGGACCACTTACTTTCCTCCTCCGGGAGTTCTCGTTTCCTCGGTACACACAGACCCGTCTTCCGCTGGGTTTCTCGGGTATCCGTTCCGTCCTGCTTGGCGGCTCTACCTTCCACAGTGAAGAAAGGTCTCAGGCGGCCTGCGTGACACACCTCTTTCTTTCGGGGTCCATCCGGCTTGCCAATCTCGTACGACACTGGACCCAACCGTCGCAGCACTCGGTATGGTCTCTTGAACCGCGACCTGGTCACTCTACCTTTACCTGGCAGCACCACCATTACGTTGGATCCGGCCTGAAAATCCCTCTGCGCAGCTCTCCTGTCGCACCACTCCGACATCTTACGTTGCGCATTCTTTAGGAGTTTCCTAGCCAGTTTCTTCGCTCGAGTGAGACGTTCTCTGAACTTCTGGACATATTTATTCACCGTTCCCACGGTTGCTCCTGGTGTCCATCGTTCCTTCAGCATGGATAGCATGGCATATATAATATAGATAAATGGAAAGTAAGCCTTCTCAGGACCCACACGTCCTCCTTCGGCCTTACTAACCAATTCGGGGAACTCCCCCTGCTGTAACTCTCCGAGACGAGCGCGGTTTACCCCTGGAGAACCGGTGAGTGTCACCTGCAACTCACCATTCGGGCTACTCTCGCCCTCCACTCGTTCTCTGGGTCCTACGCAGAGGTGATCTGTTCCCAGGCTGTCAGTCGTCTCCTCAGCCCCATCAGATCCACAACCTCCTGGTTCTTCGCGTTGTCTCGGTGCCACAGTACAAACTGGGATCGCCACCGGTGCGATTCCCTTCTCGTCCCCACAGGCGTTCAAATCTTCGCCTGTCTCCTCGTGTTGTTCTGGGCACTCTTCGCCTTTCACGAGATGTGGGAGGACATATCCTCCACACGCGTCATTCCCCAAGATGACCTGCGCCTCCATCTTGGGCATTGATGTACAGACTCCCACCTCTAGGGTCTGGCAGCCATATTCGGAATTTAAAGTTACCTGGTGTAGGGGCATCCTCACTGGGCCTCCCACAGTGGTCACACTTGCCACCCCCACACTGGTGCTCTTGTAACCCTCGGGGAACAGGGTTTCACTTACCAGGGTAAAGTCAGCCCCGGTGTCTCTTAGCATCTTCACTGGGATGGGGTCTGCGACCCCCATCCTTACGGTTCCTTGACACATGAATGGGTGAACTTTCTTCTCCCCATTCAGCACGGGTTCATCCCGCACTCCCTCGGCCCTCTGGTCCTCGAACATCACTAAAGCAACGTGTCCCCGCTGCTTAGGGCGTCTGCATTCCCGCGCGACGTGTCCGGGTATTCCGCAGTTGTAGCAGCGGCCCCTCGGCGGAGACCATCCGCCACCGCTCGCCTTAGCACTGCCTCCAGAGACCGTCACACCCTGTGTCTTTCTCGCCTCACTTGTCGTTTCCTTCGTTGCAGTAACAACTTCCGAGCTCTCATCTTGGCTCTCCTCTATCGGTTCCACAACATCTTTTGTTCCTCTGTCGTCCCATCTCGAGCGGTGGGACCTGGGAGAACTCGCTCCTGTCCTCCATCCATTCGTCCTTCTATAACTCCGATCGTTTCCGACGTATGCGGGTGGTCGGTTCTGTCCCTCTCGGCGTGGGCGTAGGGCTTCCTCTAGCATGTCGGCCCGGTCGGCTGCGGCCCTCAGGTCCTTTATGTCCGCCTCCTTCACCCTCATCCTGATCTCAGGAGGGAGCACGGACATAAACTTTTCCATGACCATTAGTTCCTTGATTTCTTCGGCCGACCCCGCTTCTTCAGAATCCATCCACTTAAGGAACTTTCTTTCCATGTCCCTCGCCGTCTCCGCATACGATTTTCCTGGTGACCGGGTACATTCTCTAAACCTCTTTCTGTAACACTCTGGCGTGAGCTTAAAGGAACGGAGCACAGCTCGTTTTACCGCATCGTAGTTAGTGCATTCTTGGAAGTCGAGCATGGTGAAGGCTTGGCGAGCTTCCCCTGTGAGCCTTCCTTGGACCAACTCCGCCCACTCCGCCCTCGGCCACCTCTTCATAGCAGCAACTCTCTCAAAGTGATCGAAGAAACTTTCGGCTTCACTAGGCACAAAGACCGGCAGGTCTCGTTCCCTCACTCGTCGGTCTTCCTGTGGCGGGGCAGGGGCACCTAGTCCCAGTTCAGCTCGCTTCAGCTCCACCTCCTTGTTGGCTTCTATTTCCTGTTGTCTCAGCCTAACTTCTTGCTCTCGTTCTTCCCTGCGTAGCTGTGCTTCTCGTTCTTGCTCTTCCCGGCGCAGCTGTGCTTCTCGCTCTTGCTCTTCCCGGCGCAGCTGTGCTTCTCGCTCCTGTTCTTCCCGGCGCAGCTGTGCTTCTCGCTCCTCACGCTTCGTCTGTGCTTCTCGCTCCTGTTCTTCCCGGCGCAGCTGTG